CGGGCAACTGCTTCCGATGTAGCTAACTTTTTTTATCAAGAACATCGTTCTCCACCACGGTGCTCCCGCTGTCGTCGTCACAGATCATGGTACTGCATTAACGGCACAGTTACTCCAAGAGATCCACTGGCTGAGAGGTGTAAGACCCACCGAACAGCAGCTGCGTACTACCCACAGACTAAAGGGTTCGCCGAACGCCTTAACAAATCACAAGAATAGCAAGCCAAAGCAACGCATGGTAGTGCTGCGACTCTGGACAGGCAGCGCCATCTTTGGTAGAAAAGTAGAAATTGGGGATGTAGATAGCGCATTTTCCCTTCGCTCCAATGCACTGCTGCTCGCTTAATTACGTGCTCATGCAGAGGGCGCGCGCTGCGTTTGAATCACCTCACAATGTACCGCCTGTAGAGCGGCTTTACAAAGATCTCTGAGCTGGACAAGCACTTCTGAGAAGTGAATCGAACCAAAGGAGTATAGCTCGTTAGTCAAGTTTATGATGCGGAGCAGACGACGGAAGAGGAGGTCGCCAAAGTCACTGCGAAGTACATTTCTCCGGTCCTCCGTGATAATACCGTGTACGACGTATGCCTCGAAGTAAGTCTCATTCTGCCAAGATGAAGCCGTGTACTATATCGATGTGCACTGTTGATGTTTATAAACCATATAATTGTTGTTTTGATGTGGTGTCTAACAGTAGCAGCCATGTAATGTCATGTGCAAATGTTTGCGGCATGCTGAAAAAATAAATAAAAACTAACGTTATATGGTCATGGCATTAAAATGTCCGAGAAGTATTAGAGTCATGTCCTCCGTACCGCGCATGACCCGATGACGTGGCCGAGAAGCAGCAGGCTAAGTTTAACCACAGCAAGTCAAATTGAAGTGCTCGCCTTTTTTTTTCCGGCTCTTGTGTCATGCTTGCTCTATCTTTTGCGAACGCAGCTGTGTTCGCCGGCTGTGACTAGATCAAAAACTGGTACAGCTTTACACATGGAGAGCGTCGCTGGGTGTTTTCCACATTGTTGTGGCAGCCCACAACACAATACTTCGGACCTCGCCGATGCTTCCATAGGGCCGCTTCTTCAATCGCAGAAAGGCAACTTCACACAGCGAGTGTCTCGTTTTAGCGAGCCAAGCTGATGGCACGGCGTCCAAGTTCGCCGCACCAACTGCAGAACGCGTTGCACACGCGCTCCCGTTTCGGTGAAACACACTCACTCGCCTGCGCCCTCTCCCGCGTCACACAAGTGTTTCAGAGCTCGTCGCCAGGACCAGGCGCGTTGTCATTGCTCCGCAAATTAACTTGAGCTTCGGTCTCCTATTGGGATGAAATCCTTCCGTATATCACATTTTCCTACAACACAGCACTGCAGGAAACCACTTTCTTTGCTCCTTTTCGTCTGGTTTACGACTGCGACATCACCACAATGCTTGATACCGTGCTGCAACCAACTCTGCCGGACATGATTACCCCAGACGCACGTGTATTTGTTCAGTGTGCCGAAGACGCCCGGCAGCTTGCGCGCTTTCGAATTTTATCGCAGCAAAATCAAGATGCTCGCTGGTACAACACCCATCACAGAGCACTGACATATGGGTGACCTAGTCTGCGTTTGGGCTCCCATACGTCGACGTGGGCGCTCAGAGAAATTGTTATGTCGGTGCTTCGAACCATACAGAGTTCTTCATCACTTCGGGGAAGTCAACTACGAAGTTGTCCCAGCAGACCCGTCGCAATGTTCTCGTAGACCATATGCTCCTCGGATGCGGTTCATGTCTCCAGGATCACGCCGTACTATTCGCATTTACAGCAAGTGACGAACTTTATGATGTGGAACTTGACTTCAAGATAACTGTACATTTCTTTCTCGCTTCTTTAATTTTTTTTTTTCATCTTGCTCTTGTGCTTCTCAACGGACACAAACATTCTCAGCTACCTTTCATTGTTTTTCGGAGCCGCGGCATTCATGCCGTGCTTCTTTTTCTCGCTTGTTTTTTTTCTTTGGGGCAGGGTAATGCCATGATGTGTTGGTGGCAGCATAAGAGAGCGATGAAGTGAGTGGCTGAGTAAACAGTCGTTCACTTCCAGTCTCTGTTTGGCGTTTATCTCGCCGCGGTGGTCTAGAGGCTAAGGTACTCGGCTGCTGACCTGCAGGTCACGGGATCGAATCCTGGCTGCGGCAGCTGCATTTCTGATCAAGGCGGAAATGTTGTAGGCCCATGTGCTCAGATTTGGGCGCACGTTAAAGAACCCCAGATGGTCAAAATTTCCGGAGCCCTCCACTACAACGTCTCTCATAATCATATGGTGGTTTTGGGATGTTAAACCCAACATATCAATCAATAAATCAATCTGTTTGCCGTTTCCTCTCGTGACTATATATATATAATGTAGGAGGTGCTTTGATGCAAGGAAATACTGGCTAGGGCTTTTCTGCATAAATTTGCTTATGGTTATATTGCACAACTTTGAACACCCACTAATGCTACACGAAAAATTACTAACGCTATAGTGACGCCTACGTTGGAGTGCTACAGTCTACAACTAGTGCTTACAACAAGGTCCACGATTAGGCATCTCAAACGCTAACACTACATGAAAAATGACAGACGTTGTAGCGACGCCATCTGAATACGGCGGATTGCTGTAACATACAATGTTACAATTACTCATCAGCCTGGTAGCAGAAAAGAAATTGTCACAATGTTTTTTTACCACATAATAAAAGCAATGAATGTGACGGCAGCCCGAGGTGCAAAGGTTAGTCTTTTGTAAGTGATCTGGGAAAGAAGACAGTGTTGGGATGACATCGTTTCGAAGATAGGTTTTGGAACTGAGCGCTCAAAACATTGCGATGCAAAATGGTCACTGCAAAGTCTGCTTTTTGGAGACGGCGTCCAGTTGTTCCTCTTTAAATTACCGACCTACTTTTCCTATAATTGAGGCCTTGAGCTTGGGAAACTGCATTAAAAAAAACTGAACAGGTTTCACACGCCTCGTTAAAAAAAGGCAATCAAATACCACACTTTCCTCGCAGAATGCGTAAAAAAGTAATATAATTTTGAGGCACTTAGGCGTGAAATGTCTTTGTGATAACATTTCTCGTCGATTCATACAGTTTACTGTGCTACAGGCCATCATTTCATTAAAAAGTAGAGAGGAGCCCTAGCGCTGGCATCTGGCGACTGTTCATGGCGGTGGCTTTCGGGACACTAATGGCGGCTTCCAGTGGCTTCAACCGTGCGCGCTCGATGCCCCATCTAGCTTTCCCTAGTAGAGATCAGTGTTTGAGAGCGCGCGGCAGTGCGGCTGATTTTGTCGACTTGCTTGCGCACCAGTTGAGTCGTATACAGTGCCACGTCCTCTGTGCTTTTTGTTGCCATGAGCCAAAAATTCGCCTTCACGTGCCAGTCTCTTAATGAAATGTAATAGAGATCCACAAAACAGAAAAAAATGACTGGGGTTACCGGTGCATGCAGTGGCGAGTGAACGTAACCCAAAAGCTAACTATTGTTCCATCGTGGCGGAACGCTAGTGGTTATAAGTGCTAATGCATGGGTTCTATGGGGAGCTTTTTTTTCCTCTAGATCTAGTCTGTATATTAACTCTATGATGGCGACACACCACGAGTTGAGCTAGCCACCCTAACAGAACTGTGCGCATTGTAGTATGTATGTTGCCTTGTGAAATGCAACCAGTGCTGTCCCGCAGTTATTATGAACATTGACGTCACATGGAAGTAATTTTGCACAGTGAAAACAGCTGTGTTTCATGCCTATGCATGCGCAAGCCTGTGACTGCGAGTGGGACAAAGTCAGATCAGCTGTCTGACGATCATAAAAAGTTTCCGCAAACCGAAAACGTGAAAATCTTTACGGCTGGCGGAAACTACTCTGTGTGGATAGAGCTTGACTAAGTAACGACCCCGGATATGTATGCATGCGATCAAGGCATATATAGAAGCGCATGAACTTCCAGGGGAATAAATTTTCCATTCTAAAGCATCCTGTCTCCTGCTCGAATTTTTTACACGTCGACCTAGGGGAACGCATAGTCATATTTTTTCACACGCGAATATGTATTCAGTCGATTCAGTAAATGTGCTTTTTTATTTTTCTGATGGAATCTGAAAGTCATCGTAAGATGTGGGGTCGGCGTAACAGTGCATCATGTATAATTCAGGTTTTTAATACATTATTTCTAATGTGATTTGCTGGGACCAAGCAGGTTCATCGTAAAATATAGGTAGTCGCGAAACCAGGGAACGTATGATCGAAGTATTGGAAGTACTGGTACACAAACTTATACAGATAGAATAATCGTTTTAAATTATTTGTCTGCTTAAACAAGCGCTGCAACACTTTTCCAAAAAAGTCATCGAATGGCTTCATTATAGCAGTTTAATATCACAGGAATTCAGTGCCGCAAGAACTTTTAGGACCTGTCAAGCATAAGCGATATTGCAGAAATTCATCATGTGATTTGAACTTTTTCCACCTTCTTTCATGCCGGCGAGTCTGTCGAGTGCTATGCAAAGGGGGGGATGACAAAAATGCAAAAAGTCATGCATTCACTGCCATGACCTTGAGCACTTTCACTTTTTTCTTCAAATGTGCAGCTTGCTTTCAGGGTGAGCGCAGGCACATCGTGGCAGTAACTCTGCAGCTCTAAAATCAGCCACTCAAATGAGTGCCCTTAGCATCAATGGCTCGGCTATTTCCATTTATGGCATCATTATGTCTTGCTTATCTGACTCAGAAGTATTTGTACATTCAAGTGGCTGCATGCTGCACTATTACGCTTAGCTAGCATGTTCTCATGAGCCTCGACTACCAATCGGCAGCATTTCCTGGCCATGCTGGAAAAGGCTTGCAAGGTCCGCTTAATTTTCAGAAGAGCCACTCCTCATAACAACTCTTTAAATGTAACATATTTTACTTTATTACAAGTGAACAGGCACTGGAAGAACGATATGCCTTTAGAGGCAACACAAAAAAAATGAAAACCTATGAATGTGCTTTTATTTACATGACAGCGACTATTCAACAGCACTCTCAGATGACATCCACGATTTCATCATAAGGTACAGCCAAGCGAACATTGTAGTTATAACCAGCTGGTTCAGAATATGACGACAGACAAATGGATGGGATTCCTGAAGTCTGCTGGTTGGCCGAAAAGTCGTACATACGGATGGACCCTCTCTGCCTAAAGCAAAGAAATTAAAAAATGTTTACTGAATATGCAAGCAAACGAAAGAGCAGGTAAACATTTCTCATGCATAAGTCAGTGACATTACAAGTATGCAGTGGCAAAAGCCATTCAATTAAACAAGGTATATGAACATAACTGCCAATTGATTACATGTAGCATCTTTTAGTTAATCTGGCTCCTTGCTTACCCTTTCTGAATATTTCTAGAAATTGGAAAACCCGCTTTTGTTTTACCCAACACATCCCACATTTCCCAATGAAGGCTTCTTGAGGCCACTTTATTTTCTACCAAACAGCTTGAATCACTTGAGCAATTGAAGGTAAAAATTGGGCTTCCATCAAACTTTTAAACTTCAAAAACTGGAAGCACAAATTTCACTTCATTCAGGAACTGCCTTGCAACTTAATAAGTTGTAGAACCACTTTTGACTTTTTAGAGAAATGAAGGCATTGTCGAAAAAAAAGTCTTCGTGAAACGTCCACAATATCTCCTATTAAAGGCAATCTGTTCAAAGTGTACAAGCTGCTGCTAAAATTGCAAAATAGAAATCAACATTAGGCAATAATGTCAACTTTTGTCAACAGTCTGGTCTTTCATCACACCAAGGAAAGCAACATTTGGAGCCAACTTTCTGTGGCACTTGGTCAAAAGGTAAAAGCAACTATGAACAGGCCAACTCGGGTGCTATCTCCCCTGCACGGGAGGCAGATTGTCTGTGTTATTTCTTAAGTTTTTTGGACGGCATTTTGCTTTCACTTTTTGATCATGATTACTCCCGAGCAGACGAGCTTTCGTCAAAACAGTTGATTTCATTTTCTGTGGCTCTGTAGCCAAAGCCGCTGGGCTAAAACGTGTGTGGCAGTGCCACTGGACATAGCTCTAATAAACCCCATTAACTTTTTGACAATATAATTTTGCCTTGCTTTTGCCTAAATACCACAACTATGTGCTTAATTATTACTGTGTCACAAGTTTAACATAAAATTATTTCAATGCAGGCTCCATGGAAAAATTTCTTTAGCATACAATCTCCTCACATTTCCTGCAATACTTGCCAGATGGCACTACTAACTTACTATGAATGCATGTTTCATTACCTGGAGGCATGCAAGCAGAGGCCAACACTATGTGCAAGGTATGGGTTCGTACCTGTATGCCGCTCCTCGTACATTCTGTGCCTAATAAATGTGTGCCACTCCTCAGACATCACACACAGCAACAAAAAAACAGCCCATAAACGTATACGAGGCATGGCATGTACCTACGTGTATGCCCGCTCATAAGATGTGACTCTCTTCTTTTTAAATGAGGAGCATTTTATGGTCGCACCTACTCGCAAATTGAGCCGCGGTGTCGACACCCCACTGCGCATGCTCGCGTCTCGTTTCAACTGCCACTCTCCCTCGCCTTGCAAGGCCGACGCAAGCAGCGTCTGCTAGTAAAAACCTCACGCTGCACAACCGTTCACTGGCCACCTTGTAGATGTAGGCACTGGATCCCGCATTCAGAATTCCGTCGAGTGCGTCTTCACTCGGCTTTCACTTCGACTTGATGCTTCGCTTGACTTGAGAAGATGCGATAAAAGCAACAATACTTTCAAACAGAAGTAAGGCACAACCCAACATCAGCGTCCCACCACTCGATTGTTGAAGGCAATGCTTCTCCTTCATTCAATAAATAAGAATAATAAAGACGAAATAACAATTGAGCATTCCCAAACCATACCCAATTACACAACATTCACGCGATACCCCCATCACTCTGCGACGCATTTACTCGAGTTCCCCACGTGGGAGGATGTGGGCGGCATTTCTGATGTACCTAGCTCCAATAACACGTAACAATATACAGGGAGCTTCAGCTACTATGTCTCAACAGAATTAAAACATATGCCTACATGCTCTATGCCAATGTGATCAAACACACATCAGTCGCTGGCTACTGCATAGAGTGAGTCACACTATCTTTTGTTTTATGCCTAATTGCAAAATTAGCCACATTTAACGAACAAACTTCTGAGGCGACAAGGCTGGGTCGAAAATTCCAATGAGAAAGTTGCAGATCAGCCTCCAAAACATCTAATTACACAGTTTCTAACTTTGCATCTATTATTATTCTAGCTATTAGCTTTCCTGCTTAAAGGGGAACTCCGGAATTTATTCGATATTCACCAATTTCATTAAAACTTTGAAAATGTGTTCTCGTCGGTACCAGGGCGAGGTGCGCCAAATTATACAACTGTAAGTCATTTAGTTTCTTGGAAAACAAATTTTAAAATTGGTAGCCGATTCTGGAATCACACTTGTAAACGCGGGCCATCCTGTGTATGTGATGTAAAAACCTACTCTTTTTCGAAACCCCCCTCCCCCCCTTTTTCAGCAGACAGATGCAGCGCGTGCTTTTTTCTATGAGGCGATGCCATCGCGAACACAGTTCAGTTTTGTCAGCTGCATACAGCGTGTTAATCGTCGTTGACGTCGGGTTTTACAATATTGAGCAACAAGGAAATCAATTAGGGGAACGTCAGGTGCTTCACACGCCGGTGTGTTGAAATCATAAAGAGTTGTCTCTGCGCTCAGATAGTAGCTGCGATCTTCGCTGAACTTGTCACCGGTAAGTTCAGATGAGCTGGCACAGCTTGATTCCACATTGAATGACATCACCAACTTGCTTTTCACGCTCCAGAACAGGCCGTGAGCTATGTTTACATCGTGGCCAGCTGTGGCGGGGTATAGCAGATCTAGTGACGTCATTTGATTTGCATCATGGATGACGGCGCAGCTCCCCGTATCAGTTTTTTTTACTTTTTGTTTATTGCTGACTTAAGATTATTGACGAGTACCTAGACAAAATGGAACACACTAGCTTCTGCAGGACTGTCAATACTATTTCAAAACAGCATCATCTAAGAATAGATGAAGATGCACCGGAGTTTCCCTTTAAATAAAGATTCCGGCAAAATACAAAAAAAAAAAGATATCCTCACATGCCCACTTACATGCTTGTGCATGGCGCGACTCTGGTGCCCCCTAATGTTCCACATACAAATGATATGCTTCCTTCGTGGTGCTTCATGACGGCAATAAGCAGACACAGCTGTTCCAGCTTGCGTTGCTGTTAGCAAAGTGTGCATCATTTCGCCGCTACCATAATTTTCACTGTCCTCTTGCGGGACCTGACCAAATGCTATGGTCGTCAGTAAACTCTGGCTAGATTATCTCGGGAATCCCGTACAGCAAATCTCTCTCTCACCCCTCCAAATACCGGTTGTTTCAAGAAATGTGTCCCAAATCCCCAAAATCAGAGAAACGCTATATTTGCCCAATGCCTTTAGAATTATTTCTTCTGTGACTGCAGGCATCTTAAGATGGCTGAAGACATTGTTTGGAACAGTAACTAAAAATTTTAAATGAATTAACTTTTTAGTTATAGGAGTTATTGGTAGCAGTGCGGCCTACTGAGTTGTTTCTCAAACAGAAGAGCGTGCATGAAAGCACAAGTTGACTGAGAGGACACGATGGAAGGTGAAGATGCTGCACATCGGCAAGGTAATCGCCCTTGCACCGCGTCAAAGATGTAATTCCACTCATCCCATCTATTTTGTGATAGTCGTATCTTGCAGTCATGCAGTCGGCACAAGTTGACTGACAGGACACGATGGGAGGTGAAGATGCTGCACATCGGCAAGGTAATCGCCCTTGCACCGCGTCAAAGATGTAATTCCGCTCATCCCATCTATTTTGTCACAGTCGTATCCTGCTGTCATGCAGTCGGCATCCGATGCCATTTTGTTCTTCCAGACTGCTGCCAGGTTTGAAAGTCCGCGCTCTTAAAGACATACTCAGACATTTTTGAGTACCATTTTTCCACGAAGTCTGCCGTAAGTGAAATGTTGCAACATTTGAGTAAGAAATTCAAAAGCATCCAGCAAATACTGCATTTTTCTGATATTCAAGGATCTAGGACACACATTTCTTGAAACATCAGGTATATTATTCTATGCTGTCAATAGAGTTAACACAAGCCCACTTCTTTAATCAATCAACTCAGGTGGAAGATGCTCAGTTGCACTTAGGGTATCATATGGCTGGGTGTGGTACCTGAGCCAGCTCTTCCTATTTTTTTTTATGCTTTATGCACCAAAATGCTGCTGTAAACAGGAGAGTTTATCTGTGCCTAACAGCCCAGAGTTGTGCGACCTCAGCATAAATCCATTTGTAAAGTTACATGTTGCTATTAACTCTAGCCCTGGAAACATCAAACAAGGTGCATACCTCGTGTGAACAACAATGTTGCCATCCTCTGGTTCTGGAAAGAGGTTGTGGGGCACGTGCGCAGTGACGAGGGTGGAGTGGTCGGCTCGCAAATGTTTCACAGGGTGCCTGTAAAAGCAAGTATGGATGAGCCATCAAAAGAAAAGGCAGAGCAGCCAAAATGCTTATAAAGCTTGCAGTGGCTGTGCACAAACTCTGGGTAAACAATAGCCTCATTTAATAGGCTAGGACCTGCAATAACATGGTATGTGCTGTCAAGGTCACATCATTAGGCAGAAAAAACTGACAATTACAACATAACAAGTTCGTATATGGTATCAATAATCTAAACTAAATCTGTCTTTAGGCAAGTTCTGTATCACTTTCCAGACACACCAGCATGCTTTGAAGGAAGAGGAACTTTTTCGAGGGGCTCGTTTATATTTTAGACACAATCAAATGAGTCGACCAGACAATTAGGCCAAAGAAAGCTAGTATACTACAGTTAAAGACAACAAATAAGACCCTCTATGCTTTCCCTGACCTAACTACTTCATCAACTCATTTGGTTTTGTCTAGCAATATGCCTTGTGGCATGTGGAAAGAGATCAGACCTCGCTGGCAAGCAGACCATAGGATGCCTAGCACAATACTGCTAATGGTGCTGTGTGCCTTGTGATTGCCTTCTACAGCGTTGTCGCCAATGACACCTTCAACCGTAATTCCACCAAGCAGTTGCCGCTATGGTGACAAACTGACACGACCAAATTTCCACCGTGGTTTAAGCTCTGATTTTGACGACATTCATCAGGTCACAGAAAGCAATGTTGCAATACACTTGTTCTCTTCAACCCCTTTCAACTGTGCTCTCTTTTTTTCTGCTCAAACACTCTTGACATCGATCGGTCAGGCTGAATGCCTTTGCCCAACATCCCTCCAATGCCAGTGAGCATCCAATTGCACACAAGAAAAACACACACACCTTTAATGGAACTATAGATATACTGTATTCCAAATTGCTCTACTGATCTGCTGGTTCTATGATTAGTCAATTATCTGACTTAGTTACTTGTCAGTAGGTTCATTAACTGATTTTAAAGGAGTACTCACACGAAATTTTCCGGTTATCGTTTTTTTTTTTTCCGTCAAATGGTAGGCCAAGGCCCCAAAAGCCTAGAAAATATACCGGTTAGCGTGAGTGCGCCCTGAAAAATTAATTACAAGGTGTTTTTAAAAGCTAGTTTTGGTTTCTGCTGTACCCTGACGTCACGACGTGGTGTGAGCAGCGCTCCCAAGCGTTGGTATGTGCATGCGCAAGTTATCGTGACGTATCCCCGGGCACCCGTGGCTGCAGTTGTCGTCTGCTGCGCGCCGCACATGTAGCATCTTGTGCACAGTCAACAATGGATGAACTTTGGTCAAGCGACTCTGACCACAGTAATGACTTCGGCAAAGAAGAAGATGCTGAGCTTGCCGACCCTGCCAACCATTTCGTTTTCGACCCGCTTGCGAGCTCGTCAGAAGAAGAGGCACCAGACAACGATAACGCCATGCAAGATGCCGTGCGCATCGGGAACGTCGAATGGTAAGAATTCCGTGTTTATTGATCAATTTTGCGCAGGCATCTTCCAGTTGTCCTAAATGTCAATAGCATTTGCAGTGAAGTGGAGTGAACAGAGCAAACTCCGCTTGGTCGACGTCCAGTCTCCACCCCGGCTGCAGCGCACAGAGTCGATCCATGCTTGTCTCAGCACCGAATTAAATGGGAATTGGTGGAACACGCACCTATCCCCCGTTTCACTAGCGCAAGACTTCACAGGTCGAAATATCGGTGCCATGACGACAGATTCAGATCAAATCACTCCCTTGTCCTCTGAGCAGTGTATATTCTGTACTCATAAGGACGCACAATACTCTAGTCTCCGCTCGCTCGCCTCACAGGTTTGCTGGATGATAGCAACCGCACGCTGCGAGCAGACGACCGAGAAGGCGACGCGCAGTCAGGCTGCCATTTATTGTTTTTTGGTGTCTGACGTCATCCCAACTTGCCAGACTGCTGTGTGAAGTCATCGAAATTAGTACTGTAGCCTAACGTCAAGCTAGTGTTGATGTCCATAGGATTACCAAGAAAAATTTCACTTTAACATCAAAATAAAATATCCACATTTGCTGAGGTTCACACTTCCTCAGAGATATCTCTGTATACAGGAGATTTTTATGGCAGAACAAACTTGCCTTCAAAAACAGGTGTCAGTACTCATTCAAATCTTACATGTAAACTCGTTGCTCAGTTTTTAGGTTAAGTCATGAGCCAATTTATTCATTTATTGATCACAAGGGCGCTGATGAATATTGCAGTGGTGTGTGCTACATTCAGTTTCGCTACCTATTATCCCTAAAAGTGAACACTGGCATAACTGCTGTCGAAGATGTGACTTCCCGGCAAGGACTCGGCTGCTCCACCGCCCTTTTCTGCACCCGGTATTCGCCTGCTTTTAAGCGATGCGGTAGTGATTACTCCACAATTTTGGTGATGCCAATCTTTCAAGGTCGCAGTTGGTAGGTTCCATAACTAGTGAAAGTTATTTGAGCTGAGAAAGGCTTAGGATAGGCAAATTACCATCCAAACAGGAGACTCACTGTGATAATTGTTATGCAGAACAGCAAGGCATATGTTGTTCTCAATGCATACTCAAAAAAAATCGGTGTACGAAAATATTCTAAGTGATTCTAACTTCAATACAACTAGGCACAGGCTTCAGGGTTAAAACATGCTTGATGAAGTATTCCAAATAATATTCAGACGTTACTAATTGGTTGTAGTTTACAATTAAAGTTTTGCATCTGCCTCTGCAATAGAGCTAGGTGGTTTCACAAAATGGCAGTTTCTCCAACAGGAGACTGCACAACTCTGTCAAAAACAATCACTGACATATTCGAAAAATTAGACAAAAAATATTATGACTGCACAGACGATTTCAGAAATGATGAGATGTACAGACAGGTTCATTGTTAAAGGAAACACATATGTGCACGGTATGTTTGGATTTCATTCTTTCGCAAAATATAGCGGCTAAAATTTGCATAGGACTACCGCTGATTGACAGTTTTGACTTCCTTTGACAGACTAGTGCCATGCATGAACATTGTTTACTTATGCGCTTGCTGTTAGAGCACCAGTAATATCAATGATGCTCATTGTAGTGTTCCCTTTAACAGTAGACAGTACTATACATTTACTCAGACCCTATGCACAGATTTATTTTCAGCAGTCACCAGGGGTTATGTAGTCGTAAACTCCACTTTGCGTGAAATGCTGGTCCAACCTATTGCCACATTACGTTAACAAATGAACTTTTTTGATGGTGTACTCAGCTAGCGACGTGGCCCCCATAATAATTAAACATTCTCCGCCTCATGGAGGCAACAATTGGTCTAACAAATCATGTCTACTTACAGGTTGATGACATCATGGTAATCAACTGAAAGGAAATACAATTTATGTGGTAACCATCAAAAGTACTAGTACTTAAGAGTGTACAGCAGCTACGATGCTGCATGAAGACAAATCTGGCAGCATTAAGAGTTTCCGCACTCAGCATCAACTACACCTGACTTCAATAATTTTGGTGAAACGCAGCACCGAAACTATGGCCAGAAAAAAACTAAAGAACATAATGAGTGAGAAAGTCTGCAAGAAAAACTGACACAACAGTTGAGCCAGTATTCTAGTCTGAGCGCATTCGAGGTATTTTGCGAGACTCGATATGGAACACGTGTGTGGTGCTTGGCACAGCAGCAAGAACGTTGTCTGTAGATACGGGCAAAACGCCTCAAGTACCAATAAAAGGCAAAATCCTCATCTCTTGAAGTCCCGTGTAACCTAACGAGGCAAATAGAATGTCTTGCAGGTTAAACCCACATGATTATGCAGCAATAATTTTGCTGTATCTGAGCAGAAACGTGTTCTTGTCCAGTTGCGATTGCCGAGGCCAGGAATGAAAACTATCATTAGCAGCGCGACACAAACCTGATTTCAGTTTTCATACGACCGAGCGCAGGCCCTGTTGGCCGATGCAAAAGTAAACTTTTCTTCATTGTTTTACCAGGAACATTATCGACGCTGTTTTTGTCATTCATCTGTAGCTTGAGACAAGTTAAAAGCAAATGTAAACAGTGTACGAAGTAAGTTTCTGTTTTGTAGGCATGCAATGGCGGTACTAGAATTGTAATAGTGGGCATCAGAGTCCTTGTCATGACGTCACACCTGAACCTCCCACCAGGTGGTGCCGTAACAACTTCTCAGCCCATCATAAAGGGGAGGCTCATAGCATCCATCCATCCATCCGTCTGGGGCTAATAGGATCTACAGAAGTTCAGTTATTGCTTGCACATAGCTTGACTGGATACAAATGCTATTCTGCAGCATTGACAGCAAGCAACACATTTCTCTGAAGACTTTAGCGTAGCAATTACTTTTATAAGCATTATTTGATGAATATATTCACTATTATCACTTTCACATGATGCTATGAAATACATAGTAATAGCCTCAACACACTGTGTTATCGATGGCAGCTTATGCAGTTTTTATTTTCTTTAAATTTTGTTTCTACTTTTCACAAGCCATGGTAGATTAGAAGGTGAGGTGTCATGCTGTAAAGCTCAAGATTGATTGATTGATATGTGGGGTTTAACGTCCCAAAACCACTATATGATTATGAGAGACGCCGTAGTGGAGGGCTCCGGAAATTTAGACCACCTGGGGTTCTTTAACGTGCGCCCAAATCTGAGTACACGGGCCTACAACATTTCCGCCTCCATCGGAAATGCAGCCGCCGCAGCCGGGATGCGAACCCGCGCCCTGCGGGTCAGCAGCCGAGTACCTTAGCCGCTAGACCACCGCGGCGGGGCTGTAAAGCTCAAGAACACAGGCTCAATTTTCAAGATGGATTTACTAGTGCGAAAAAAAAAGACGGAACATTCAGGAAGGACACACACACACACAATGCTGAACTCAAAACTGATTTATCATTTCAAATGCAGGGCCTTTTTGTAGGCTCACATCAAAACAACAGAAAGAGAGCATGAAGAAAAGAAGCGATGAAAACCACGTGACAACTGCTTGCCAAGACAAACAACCGAAGGTGAAGCGCAGTCTAAATTTTGTACGTCACAAAGTACGCCCCCGATATAAAAGAAGTGAAAAAAAATATATAGTGATCGTAAAATCAGCTGGGGCAAACACATTAAATCCAGAGAAGCCTAGGCTACCACACATGAAAGATAAAAAGATCTATAATGTTAAAGACTAAAATGAAGTATAAGAACAGTGTAAAACACAGATTGAAACTATTGAAAAGGCATGCGCCATAGGTAGCTTATTTTCTTATTTGAGACGGAAATGGAAGGCCTGTTCACATATATGTCCCCCAACCTCTGAATTTTGGCTGCCTATAAAATATCTCCAACAATTTGTTCGCCATGCCTGGCTAGAACAGTGCTACCTTCAAAATGCGGGGAGCAGCCAGTCTCGGCAGTGCATCACTAAATGGCTGCAAGCGACCGCTGACAGGTTCTGCTGGTGCTCTCGAAGGCGGAAATTAAGGCACCTGCCCATTTGTTAAACACAGTACTTGCCACAAGAGAGTGGCGTGGAGTACACAACTCCTTGTTCGCACGACACAAAAGAATGGCGGTGCTTAGTTTTGCACATGTCCTTGTTCTCAGGGGGAGCGTTCACTGCTCGGCACAACCTAGAGTGCTTTTCAGGTGCTGAAAATGCCACCCTGATGTCGCAACCCTGGGCTATCATTTTCAAGTTGTGTGACAACCTGTGCATGTCAACACCACCAGTCCTCTTCCTTTGAGTCCTCTTCCTTTGATCTGGTCAGCACATTTCACGCCTATGAGCATGCTTTTCGCAATGGCTGATCGCACGTGGGAAGGGTACCCTGCCAAAGCCAGGCGCTCTGTTTGCTTGAGAAAGCTTGTGCCGATAGAGTGCTCGCACAACTTACGTAAGGCGTTTGTGAAACAGGCTATCAGCAATGCCCTCTTCACAAGTTTGGGGTGCACCAAGTCAAATGGCAACAAAAGTTTTCTTCTGCGTGGTTCATACGACCACCAGACATGTTTGGGCTCCATTTTAGCTTGAGGTCCAAAAAAGCGGATACATGAATTTTGTGGCATTCACACGTCACAACAAGAGGCGCTAGACATTCATAAAAAATGGTCAGCACACCATTAAGCAATGGTTCAAATTGTGTATGGTCTGCATCGAACAGTACCAGATAATCGTCTACGAATCTAAATACTGGTGCATTCCACCTTTTTTTGACCTGGTAAATCTATCTCATGAACCAACCTGCCCAAGCAGCAGTTTTATCAAAGTTTATTTCAGTTTTCAGCCACAGCGTACAGGTTTCGATGGGGGAAAAATACAAAAAGCATTAGTGCATTTGGATTTTGATGCACAATAAAGAATCACACATTGCCAAAGTTAATCTGAAGCCCTTCACTATGACAAGCCTTACAATTAAATTATGACTTTGCCCCAGAATACGTACTTCAAAACAAAACATGTTGCTAGTTTTTCAGTAATGAAATTCTGGTGAAGTGCAGCAGTAAATTCACTAAAGTGCTGTTCTGACAATATTCCAACCTCCAATACAGTTCTATCCAGAAGTGCTGGCAATTTATTCATCTTCATTGATTTCAACAAAGTTTCAATAGATGCTCTCAACACTCTGTCCAAAGAACGGGATTCGTTGTCACAAGCACACGTGGCATGCTTCTTCAAGTGACAAAAGAAGCAGTCCACTTTCTTCACGAATGACTTATGCAAAGCAGTAGCAGCGGCACCTCTTACTGTCATTTCAGGTCGTTCACAACATTTTTCACTTGACGCTATGCATTGTTCACGACTTTCCAACTCCACCGAAATGAATGCCAGTAGTAGTCTCAATTTGGCTTCTGGAGAAGCTGCTGCTGAAGCTGACTCAGACAAATCTTCAGCACCATCTGATGAGTCACTCCTCGGTGCTTTAGCTCGTTGCTCTCTAGTAAACGCAAGAAACATGTTGTACGGCAGAGCCTTTTGCAGTATGCTGATAAGCATAGTGGAGAAGCTTAGCGTAAGCACGTTGAGAGAATTCAGGCAATGGATGTGCAGTTGCGTAGCATCGTACAAATGTCTCAAACCTCGCATGTCAGTGCCTTGCTTGACGTGGGTAAAGTTCCTTAGAGCGCTCAAGTGATGCTGCTCGATTCGGTTTCTGTCACCAAAGTGTTCCTTGAGGATATCGATAGCGTCATTGTAACAAGACTCAGATGTTGGAAGGCCTGCTTGGCCTCTACAGCTTCTCCGGTGAGATATCACTGCAGGTGAATATTTATTGTAGACGAGAGGGCATTATTTAGGTGAAATGTCTGTTCGAACTGTTCCCAGAATCCAGTCCACTGATTTATCTCACCCTTGAACATTGGCATTTGTAGTTTGTGAAGACTAGGTCACGAGAAACGATGCAAGAGTAGTTATCTGTAACGTTAGGCCGCACAGGTGACGTTTGTGAAGGAGTACTACAATCTCTCTCGGCTCGTTCCAGTGCCTCGTTCCAGTTCCAGGCAAGCATAGTGATTGCCTCGTCGTTGTACTAGGTAGCAGCTGCAGATCCAACTTCTAACATCATCCGGTGTTTCTTGATCTCGTTATTGACCTTCGATAGCCTGCCATTACTTGAAGAAATACGATCCCGCATACATTTGAGTTTGAAAATGACAACATGGGTCGTGTTGACTGGCTTCTTGAATGACATTGTTGTTCTGCACTCGCTTGGTCTTCAGTCGATCCATTCGTTGAAGTTAGGCGTGATCACATCGCTGACTTGCACGAAGGTCAATTTCCGCCTCGGCGTTTACAGTTCCTCACCAGTAGCAGCAGAACGGCGAGCCCCTCGATGCATGCGAAAAGAGTAAAATGTGTCCACACGTGGGTTTCGGCGCCAAAATAATATCGAAAACTCGAGAGACTGACTCAAACACAGAAGGCCCATTCGAACTTCATTGTCTTTTTCTTTTCTTCATGAGCCCCTATCCCTTATTAAATTACTTTTTTTCTACAGTGAAAACATTCAAGTTGTCCTGTAGCTCAAGGATAGTGATGGCTGCAGATGCCATTAGTAGGGTGAGGTCGTTGAGGAGTTTCGTCATGCAGGTCTGCAGTGCACTCAGCAGCCTCCGCTTCATCTTTTGGCGATCGATGCTTCAAGAGGTTTGAGGAAGTATTGAGAGAGCTTGTAAAGAGTAGGCCTCCTTGCTGCCACGCGGGCTGGCAGTCGTAGTATACACTGGAACTCGACTTCAAAAAACGTAGCTGCGTCAACCTTCATAATCGCAGCCTCTTCGAAGGTTTCCTGTGGCCAGGTTTTCTTGATTGAGATGGGTTTTCAGCACCATAGTTTTAGAAATCATAATAGTCGGAGACCATTTACAATATATCGTTGTTTATTAGAGCAGTGAAAAAACCCGTAAGGAAAAAAAGAAGCATGCACCAGGAGCTTCGAGAAATCTTCCTTTCCTTCGTTGCTATCATTTTATGCACTTCTCACTAACCTTAGGTGAAAGAGAGAACCTAATGAACCTAGATTTGATATTAACTGCATGCTCATAATACACCGCCTGTGTTAAATTAAGGTACAGGTGAGCTAGCAGGGACGCCAGAAAAGTTGTACATACCCTGGCAGTTGAAGCACCAACAATACTAAAGATAAGTTAACTCTTAACATCAGTACCACAGAACAACAGCTGGCCCAAGCCCAAGGTGCCCAGCTACCAGTGCAAAATTCTCTAAATTTATGAACTCAACATTTACAGCAGCTAAACAGCGTAAGAAAAGTGGAAGGCATCTTGCCTGCAGAACATTTCCCAGAGCTTTGCCTTAGTGCGTAGGTCCCACACACAGACGAGGCCGTCTTGACCACCGGTCACCAGACTGTGTTCATCCATTTGCACTTGAGTGACACCCAGTCCGTGTGCACTGATGCGCACCTCACACTGTAGTGTGCGCAGGTCAAAAATTCGTGCACTGCACCAGGGCAGAACATAAGGAAAGGCGGTACAAGCGAGAATTTTGCAGCTGAACAATATCATCTCATAAAATGAACATGTGACAACAGGCAATGCAAACTTGTGTGAATGCCCACAGTTCTAAAAAAAGTAGCAGCACCACCATAAATTAGTTTGTTATGTTTGATATTAATTTAAACAAAAGAGATGGTATTCCAATACAATAAATTGTGACTCGGGCTAGCACAACGATTCTAGTTCTGCTAGAATCACTGTGCTAGCCAGACTGCCATCGCTCGGACAGCCCACTGGCATGCCATCAAATCAGTTGGCCAATATCTGCCATGCACACTTTCTGCCCAGTTGGGCTTTCTCACTGCACAGTTGTTAACATCGTAACGACATCACGAGGAAGAGAGCAAGTAATTGTTCAGCTGTTTTCCCACGTGATTGCAAACTCCCTGCACCACGCAGTGGAATTGGCGCGCAAGTCAACCAAAACCTTGAGTACAGATCAGCAACATTTTCTAATTGCATTTAGAAAGGTATTGCACGGGCATCATATACTAATGGTTTCTTGACACTCACAACTAATAAGGCTTGTCTTTTTTTTTTTTATCATGGAACAGCTGCCTTCTTTCTTTTTAGGCCACTGAAGGAGTTGCAGACATCATGTGGGTTGTGCTACAAATTCCCATTGCTAAAGGCCACAAGACAAAGCAAGAATTGGTTCTGGTGATCCCATCGTATACACACTTCTTATCACAGCTCCCGGTCAGCGCCAGGTTGTCGGGACATTGGGCGACGTTGACGCACAGAATGGAACTTGTGTGGCTGGTCAGGGTGCCAAGCAGTCGTCCATTCTCTGCCACATACAGAGGAACCTTCAATACAAAAATATTTTCACCGTGTCATTGCTGTCTAGCTTTCTAGAAATGTAGGAAAGTAAAAAGAAAAAGTCACAGTTTTACCACAAGAGTGAAGCAATGAATGCAATACGTAACAACAAACTGTAATGTTACACAAAGTGAGGCTGGCAGCTAACTTTTTTGGATCCGATCTCATGCAACTCTACACAAAACGCTGGTGAAAGAGCATATGGCTGCTTCAGGAACACCTTTTGAACAATCTCTTCATGTTTAGAGCGCAGCATGTAGAAGGGTATTGAGAGCCACCCACTGACGGCTGCCAAGATAGCAAAATAGCGCTTGCGCCAGCGATGGCCACTGCTCCCGTAAAATCAAAGTTCACAGCTGCTGCTTGAGCAATTCCCCCCCACCTTTTCACATATTTTCATGCTTTTCATGCTTGGTACCTCAAAACTGCCATTGTTCTACTACCCGACGGAGAGCAAAACAATACTGAGATCTATCTACCGATGAATACACAGTCACTGCGCATTACATCATTGGCGGCGGATCTACTAACGGACCAGCACGACTGCAGATTCTTCAGAGGGCACGGCACGCTTCCGACGAACATCATGCCTAAGACTTTGATTGCACCTATGCAGATTGGTAACTTTACAAATGTCATTTGTTATAGAAGTGGTGATTCATTTTTGTTACTAGTGCCATGCGCTGGCCAATGTTTCAGTATTCTTTGCCACTGCTGCACAACAATTTTGATCCTGCTGTCAGTCGATGTAGAGCAAAACCCTGGGCCTACTAATACTTAAATGCTACAAGCTATTCTGGATAACCAAGCGGCCTCAGACCGTAAAATGGATGCAGTTGAGGAAGAAATTAGTGAATTGAACGCTAGGACTTTAAGTGGCTATCTTACGGTAATACAGGAAATGAATGAACGAATTGAGAACCTGGAGCATATAGTGCAGGAACAAGAGGCTAAACTTACAGCTGATGAAAACTGCAATCGATGCAATTATCTTCTGGTTTTTGGAGTTCCCGAAAGCAAGGGAGCTTCGGAGCTTCAGCTGCTGAGTGGAAGAAAGTTGTGCTCTTTACTGTCTTTAAAGAAATTCTTGGTGTAGAAATCCAAACGATTGAAAGAATCCATCAACTCGGTAAGAAAAAACCTTGGAAAGATAGGCCCATAATTATGAAGTTCTATGATTAGTGCTAGACAGTAAGTGTCCTTTAAAACTGCCAAAACTGAAAGGAACTGATATAACCATTAGCCACGACTACGCCTGACACACGGTTGAAATAAGACACAAGCTATATAAAAGTGCAGTTTCAGAGAGGGCTAATGATGCACAGGTCAAGTTGGTGCATGATAAGATTAAAATAAACAGTGATATATGCGTGATATATGCGGCTGAGATGTCACTCGAGAAAAACTATACATGTATTGAAATCTTGCAGATAAAAAGAAACAGAGAAATGCTCTTGAGGCTGCCGATGCCGTAAGGTGCAGTACAAGAAACGAGAGCACGTCATCTAACGTGTTCTGAACGCCCTTTTCTTTACCACAGACATAGATCTGGCTTCTTTTAATTATTGCCCAAGCATCCTTAATAAAGTAACTAACTGAACTTGAATATATTTTGCTATCACAAAGTTCTTATGTGGTGACCATAACTGAAACGTCCCTACACAGTTGTGTCCCTGATAACTGTATTGTGCCAGAAGGCTACAAAATCTTTAGATCTGATAGGATCTCATGAGGAGGTGGGGTTGCCATGTAGTAAAAAAAACTCTATTGTGGCCTCGCGAATTCAAAGCAATGAACCAGAAACAGTGTGGTGTAAAAATAAGCCTTTTCAACACACTTCTTGGTGCCGTGTATAGACCACCCCCCACAGCATCAGACTACTGTATCTTGATGAATTGAATAACTTTCTCTGTGCCCACGTAAAAGAGAACACCAAGCTAATTCTTACTGGAGTGGAGACTTTAATCTACCCCATATTAATTGGGAAGACTTTTTGCCTGAATAGGTCAAGATTGATAGTGATAAAAAGATGTTAGAAAATATATTCGCTCATAACGTAACATAAATACTTCACGAATTTACAAGGACAACATCTTTGTCTCGGTCAGCATTAGATCTGGTGTTCCTTTCAAACAAAATGTGCAATTATATATGTTGATGAGGATATTTCTGATCATAGGTTGGTCTCTGTTACTATTTCATTGAGTAAAAATGAAATAGTAACAGAGTAAAAATAGTAAAAATATATTTATGGTTCTGACCAAGGCCCATTAAGCATGCAATGTAATGAAGCTCGGTTGTTGCGAAGAGATATAAGACCACGCAAGTAAAGTGAGTGCGCCAGCGATGACCACTGGATTATGCACACGCAGATGACACTTCCTTTCTTGACATGTTGGGGTATTTATTGAAATATTTTGAGCCCGTATTGGAGAACGAAACAGTTGGAAAATTGTGCCAACGTTTTAAAGTTAGTATTAAATAGTGCATCGGCAAACTCATTCCTAGTAGAGTAAAGAAGACTAAAAAGTGAAATCCGTAGATAACACGAGACATTATTCATAAGAAGCAAAAGTTTATGAGGCTGTGGCGAAAAAGAAACCATGGCTTTGTGGAAATAAAACCTTTACAAAAGGAACTGAAGAAAGACTTGTTAGAATCTAAGCGCGCTTTTTGGTCACCAATTGAGTTCTTTCAGTAAACACTTGCCCAACAAGTTCTGGCTTTATATGTTTGATAGGCGAGATAAAGTTGACCAACTCAAACATAGAAATAAAATCATGATGCAGAATGTTAATATTGCAGATAGTCTTAAGAGTTTCTTTCAGTCAGTTTTTACAAGACGCCGATGTGACACTGAGACAAAAGATGTGACACTGAGACACTTATCTGAACCGAAGGGTAATATTATGATCAGTCTAGAGGGAGTATTAAAGAGCCTTGATTTTAGAAAATCATGCGAGCACGATGAAATACCCATTCTTTTTTGCAGCGTTTTGTGGAGTGGATATCTTACTACACTCAAACCTCGTTATAACGAACTTGAAGGGGAGCCATAATTATTTTGTTATATCGATTATAACAATTTGTGGCAATGTATGCTCAGATGGGCGCACACCTATAATCATGCAAAGAAGGAAACCGCCATGCGGCCCGATGTACCGCTACGGGACCACGCGACCCACGGAAAATAAACTCGATTGAACCTCATTAATTCGAACTTTCAGGTAATTCGAACTCACGCTGAGGTCCCGTCAAAGCTATGTGTATTCCAATGGGCGAAAACGCCCTGTAATTCGAACGCACAAGCACTTGCGACGGTTAATTCGAATATAACTCGCTCCGAATATGCTCTCAGCACCATGCCCAATCCCGCGGCGGCACCTCTCAACGCTGCATGCGAAGAACGAAAAAAAGAAAAGGCAAGAAAAGACTGTGGCAGATTGTTTGCTTTCTCTCAAATGCCGATCTGCGACGCGCCTGTGCCACATTTCTCTCTTTTCCATCTTTGCACGTAGAGACCCTTCTCCTTTCAAGACCGCGCGCAGAGAGAAAAGAAAAAAAAAGAAAGCTGTCACGGAGAGTCCTCCTTTCTCGGTGCAGAGGGTCGCAGCCATGGTAGCAGCAGAGACGCAGTCGTTGCCGCCTTGAGAGGGAAATCGCTTTGCACCGCGGCGCCTCTTCTCGGTCATGTGACCCACTGAGCACTCTCTCAATCCTCTTCGCTGGTTGTGTGAGGAAATGGCTCTTTTGGCCGCGTGGAGCGTGGTTGTAAGGTCGGTGCAGGGGTTTTGAAAGAGCCTCGCTGAACGAGCGTCAAACTCCACAGAAAACGATATACTTAACACACTACGGTCGGTTTTTTTTTATAGACTATTTGATAGACTAATTTATTTTATTATATACATTTACCGGTCAATATTACTTTGTTACAACAAGGTTTAAAATACATGGTTCTCAACGAAGTTTTCAAGGAAAATTTCATTTTACTTCGTTATATCTATCATTTCGTTATATCCCATTACGTTATAACGAGGTTCGAGTATACCTGGAAGTTATTTTTTAAAAGTCTCTTTGTACTAGTTCAGTGCCATTTGACTGGCGCACAACCGTAGTTGTTTCTGTGTTTAAGAGTGGTAATCGATTGCACGCCAATTATTACCATCCCCTGTAGCTCTCATCCATCTGCTACAAAATATTAGAACATGTCAATGTCAAAGCATATCGTCACAATCCTGGAAAATAAAAATTACTTTTATCCTTATCAGCATGGCTTTAGGAGTCAAGTCTCAACTACAACACAGCTTATTGAAACTATCCATGACATTGTGACAGCTGTAGATATGAATGAACAAACGGATGTCATCTGCATAACCTTCCCTAAAGCCTTCAATAAGATGCCTCATGACAGGTTACTGTATAGGCTTCGCTGTGCTAGACTCGGTCAGCTTCTACTTAACTGGATTGAAGCAGGGGTGTGGGAATATTCGAAAGTTTCTAATATTCATCGAATATTGCATTTGTAATATTCTTATTTGATTCGATAACCACATACTCAAAAATTTCGAATCTTCGAACTAAGTCATATATTCCTCGATGTTCACCAATATTCGTTTACATATGTCATCGTGAAGAACTTAACATTTTGCGTAATTGAGATAAGATCCTCAGTAGGTCATGCAGTGATTACTACGACTTCAGCGCGATTGTGATGCCTGCATGGAAATTCATGGGAGCGTGATGATGGCTACCGATGATTGCAGCATCATGTCATCACAATATATTGACCAACAATAAGTATCTCAATCAATCTAAATCATGTACCGTTTGCACGGCAGTACGTGTGGCTTAGCAGCTTAGTGCTGTTATGGTTCATGTAAGCGTGCCAACCACGCCGTCGCTGCTGCGCCCTTGTGTGCAGAACCGCAAGTGCATATCGTTCATAGAAATGAAGGCAACTTGCCGCCACCGCAGTGGCTCGACAAAA